GTGTCCATTAGAAAGAAATGTGTTTCTGCAAGTGACGCTGATCGGCCCTCAGGGAGATATCTATTTTGAGGTTGCCCATTTTTGAATTTTGAAGCGAGGAATCTTATAGTGGACCTCCAATTCAAGTCCCTCCCCCGCAGCACGCTCTTGAACACAAAACCGGACTCCCTTGGAATGTTTCTGTTCCAACCTGAGCCGCATTTCCCGCAACGCCGCGATCGGGCCGCCGCGCAGTGTGCACGCTGTTGTATGTGACGAGCAGATTGCGTCGGGCAGCTTGAAACATCTGCTCCATCGTGCTAGGTAGTGCTTCATTGTATCGGGTCAGAGCATTCAAGCTTCAAGCTGCACCATGGTTCGCGGTGGGAATATTAGCTGACAGTGGGTAACGGAACTGGGAGAAGCTTGGTATATGTGGGAAATTGGCCAGCCAAGACATAATAACACTCAAGAGTCCGACGAAGAAATAGTACCTTTTTTCTTGCAGCAATTTGCCCCATGTTTTAGGGCAAATTCTATATTCTCTACCTCCCCTAGCTCCTGCCCACCTGCGTCCCTCCCGTTCCTCATGTCTTTGTCCCCTCCGGCCCACTTCCATTCCTCCATGGCCCCACTCACGAATTCCACACTATAGTCCGCCACACGAAACAACGCCTGAAATGTGAAAATCGCTGTGCAGTTTGTGATTCTTCAGCGGAATTTGCAACTCGCACCAGACTCCCCGAGTCTAGGGCCCCTAGAGTCATAGCGCTCCACGCTCCCACCAGAGTCATAGCGCTCTATCGTTGCGTAGTTCCCTTCACGTCTTGCGCTGCAGATCTCCCACTTCGCAACGCCGTTCATTCTTCGAGGTAGTGTACTGCAAGCGCGTTTAACCTACCTGGAGCACAGGTTATGTGCATCAATCTGAGCGCAATTCAAGTCTACGCTCCATTTGCCGCACCAGGTCAATACATCCAGGGCCAGTGCCACGTGTCGCCTCGACCGAATGACTAGAGATTGTTGGAGCACCTGCACGATTCTTCCTGTTTCTAAGCAGATTTCCACTGCCTCATGCCACGCGTGCCTCTGAGCAGATTTCCACTGCCTCATTTCCACTGCCGCTGATTTTCTGCACCTATGACCGCGCACATGACGCCTTCCGCCCCCCGTGCGCGCACGTCACTCGCGGCGCTGCCACCGCTGCTGCTGCTGCTCTCACTCGTCGCGCCGTGCCTCGCCGGTCAAGGTACGCCGCGGCCTTCACTGGCGCTGTGAATGCGGGATCATCCCTACATGATGTAGCGCCTGCTCGGGGGGATGTAGCTTGCTGCGTGCTGCTTACCGCGCCGTGCTGCCTGTTGCTGCTCTTAGGATCGTAAGCACCGTAGTCGGCAATAGTCTACTTGCTATCGCCTATCGTGTTCTCCACGATCTCCCGAATCCAACGATATGCGCAGCTCTGCTTGAAGTTATCAATACACACTTCAACAATTTTCAGAATCTGATTGGTATCAATGTTGTCCAATGTTGTGATTTCCAGAATGAGTACAAGCAGTTTTATGGTCAACCAAGGTGCAAAATGCGATTCATAACTTCACTTGTTTCCCAAGTAACCGCGTGAGCCTCGTTTCACCCCGAGTCGCACACGCAACCGAACCGAATTCGGTGAACACTCCTCAATACCGAATCTGGAACCTTCTCGAACACGCCTCGAGCTCGAACCACATTTTTCCCCCGTCAATCTCATTCTCGATGCTTCTCCTTCTCTCTCCCTCCTTCTAGCACATTTCTTCTCGATTTCTCTCCCGCTTTTCACGCCTTAGCTTCCAACATCCGCCATAGGCCGATTTCCACCGAAATCACTCTAGAATATCCCACGCGCTCCATTCCGCCGCCATTCCGCATTTCACCGTAGGTTCCGTGGTTGGGCGAACCAACCCTAACAATCTCCCCTGTGGTTCGTCAACCACGAACTCCACTCGCACTCCGCCCCTGCTCCTTGTAGCCTTCACAGGGTCTAAGTCGGGTTCACGCTCCCCTGCAGCTCCTGCACCTTGAACCTCTGCTTACGTGTCTTGAAGTTGAGCGCCTTGACATCCAAACCTTGAAACATTTTCTTGATCCTCTCGCTGCTCCTCGGCATCTCAACACTCAACACCTCTCGGGTCTCGTACCCTTCAACGCGTTCATCCTCATTAAGCACTTGCCCCTTTGCAGTTGCATTCGCCTTTGATCCTTTCACCATGATGTCCCCTTTCACAGCGACTCCCACACACTTCGCATTTACTACTTCGTCGATCGCTGCTGCAAAAGTGTTGACATCGTCTCCATCTCCACTGTTTACTGCTGCTGCCTCCATGATCACTATCTCCTCTTCCTGATTCACTGCTGCCTCCACACTCGCAGCCATATCATCCGAGTCCTCACTCTCATCATCCTCAGTAGACTCAGGATTCTCATAAATCTCATCCTTATCGTTCATCGCCCCCAAGTTCATCTCATAGAACCCGTCACTGAAGTAACCATCCGCGTACTTCTCCCAGTCAGAACCAAACACAGTAACCTTGCCACTGCCATAGAATATCTTGCACCCCAAGTCATCAAGCTGTGACTGACTGACCAGTTTCACCTTTAAATCCTCAACCAGTAGCACATTCTCCAGTTTCACCTCTCCATACGGACTCTGCAGCACCACGTCACCCTCTCCTGTCACTGCTAACTTCCCACTGTTACCTTGCAGTATATAGCGCTCACTCGACTCCCTCACGTTCTCCATCCAATCTGACCTGAATGTCATGTGACGCGTGCATCCACTGTCCATGAACCATGCCGTCTTCTCACGTCCGTCTGTCTGACGAACATCCTTTGGTAAACGCACCACGTTCGCAAGATGCGCTCCTCCCAAAATCACATCCTCATTTTCCGCTTCCGCTACATTCGCCTTACCCGCCACAATCTTCTGCTGCGACGGTCCCTTGTAGCTCCTGCTGTTCGGATTGGAGTAGCACTCTGCGGCACGATGCCCATAGCGCCCACAATAGTCGCACTTGCCTCCAAAACCCTGTTTCTGCTGCCACTCCGCTCCTGCATTTTCTCCTTTCTCGTTCTCCATCGCTTTGCCCTTATAGTTTCTGCTTCGCGGGTTCTCGTAGCAATTTATCGCCTTATGCCCGCGCTTTCCACACTGGTAGCATGCTCCAAACGCCTTCGTTGCATTCACCAAAGCGGGCCTCTCCTCGTCGAATACATTAGCTGCTGCTGCCGCTTTCTTTTTCCTCATCTCCTTAACCGTCTCAAGCGATTGCAGAATCTCCTGCAGCTTCATCAAACTCTCCGGCGGTTGGTACGTAAACATACCGATGTCGGATTCCCACTCCTTAGGCAGTCGATCGACTATGTAGTCGATCATCGCTTTCTCCGTCTCCGCGGCTCCCATCACCCGCAAATCGTCGTTGTAGCTTTTCGCCCTGTTGATGTAGGTGATGATTTTCTCGCCTTTCTCCATGCTCAGCACCAGCTGTTGCTTCCTGATCGCCTTCTTGTTGACATCGTTCGTACCCATATACGTGGACTCCAGGTACTCCCATGCTTTCTGTGCAGAGTTCAGCTCCCCTGCAAACTGGTCCAAATCCATCGCGATTCCATCGGCAACTGAATGACAAAGCTGAAAGAACGCTTGCTTACTTTGTTTTTTAAACGCCGCTATTTTCTCCTTCGTATCCGTCGTGGAAGGCGCAACTCCCTCCATCGTCTCCTCATCGGGACGGTAGTACGGCAAGAGGTCCACCTCCTCTGCCCTTCGAACGAATTTATTTCGCCACACGTTGTAGTTGCTTCCATTGAAGCACTGAGCTTCACCGAGCCCGATCGTCGGTTTAGCCACCAAACGGCCACTCGCAAGGGCCTCGAGAAGAGCCTTCAACTGCGGGTCTCCAAGACTCAAACTGGAACCCGAACTCGCCTCGTCTCCCATAGCGTAGGCGTGAACGACTCCTCTTCTCCACTAATTTCACTTAGCGCACCAAGTGAATTCACGACGATCAACGCGCCCGTTCGCCAAGCTCTGATACCAGTTCTTAGGATCGTAAGCACCTTAGTCGGCAATAGTCTACTTGCTATCACCTATCGTGTTCTCCATGATCTCCCGAATCCAACGATATGCGCAGCTCTGCTTGAAGTTGTCAATACACACTTCAGCAATTTTCAGAATCTGATTGGTATCAATGTTGTCCAATGTTGTGATTTCCAGAACGAGTACAAGCAGTTTTATAGTCAACCAAGGTACAAAATGCGATTCGTAACTTCACTTGTTTCCCAAGTAACCGCGTGCCCCTCGTTTCACCCCGAGTCGCACACGCAACCGAACCGAATTCGGTGAACACTCCTCAAGACCGAATCTGGAACCTTCTTGAACACGCATCGAGCTCGAACCACATTTTCCCCCCGTCAATCTCATTCTCGATGCTTCTCCTTCTCTCTCCCTCCTTCTAGCACATTTGTACAACTGTCGTTCGCAAGAGCAAATTGAAATGACAATGACTATGCCGCCATGGCCATGGCGGAGAGCTTTAAGAGGCACAATGTGTCCCAATTTCTTGGCGGTTTCCAGCCTGAGTATAACCAACCGATGCACGGCTTTAAGCTCTTCTGAATGGTGGTTTCCTACTGTTCATTACGGGAACATTGATACCACTTTAAGGAGTTCCAGGCTACACGCATTGAGTTACTCGGCCCTATATCAAGTCCAAGTTAATGGCTACGACACAAGCCCAAGGCTCTGGAGCTACCGTGGTTATCAAATGGATGATCTACAACTACCTCGCAATGTTTTCAAGGAGACCAAAGCTCAAGGCTGGCAACCAACCTCCATGGCAACCCTCGTGAACCTCAGCTTGGACCTGCAGAGCTTCGTTTTCAAGCACCGAAGATATAAAACAACAGGCTTACAATTCAATGTGCTCAGAAAGGCTACCTTCTCAACCAACTCAGGACTGTCCAGCTCGTTTCATCACAGCACCATGGTGAAGGGACGTAACAACAAAGGCGGCAAAAAGGCTGGCAACAATGCGCTTGAAGAGGAAGGGTTGGACGCACCTGACCTACCCGTGAAGGACTCCACTGGTGCGGGAAAGTCGCCAACAAGGTCCACGGCGGACACGGTGGTCGGGCCTTTTGAAGCCCTACTTGACCTGCAGAATGACAACGGGTCTGCTGAGGAAGCGGGAGGAAAGAACGCTGAGGAGGAAGGAGCTGAGGCGGTGAAGTCTACGCAGCCTGCTATGGAAGGGTCGTCCAAGGAGGATGTGGAAAAAGAGGACAACGACTCAGAGAATGAGGAAGATGCATCGGAGCCAGCACATGATGAGGAGGATGATGGCTACCTGTCTGATGACTCCGATGAGCACCTGGAACCTGATTCGCTCAGCAGTGTTATTGCTTTAAAACGTTTCTCGCTAACGCTGCTGGTACCGATTCTCAGGAAAGCTGAAGTCACACGTGCTGCGGTAACAGTAGCGGCACTGCTGGATGAATGGAAGGAGAATCTGACATCAGAAGTACTGCAGACAACAACATACCAGGAGCTGACGGCGACTTACTTTTCGGGAACTCGATATGGTCGGCTCCAGGTCACCTTCAACAATGTGCGTGACGCGAACTTCGTATGGAGCCAAGCCATCCGTCATGAATGTGCCAATGGCGACTTCATCGACCTCACCTGGATGTATCCGGAAGATGCGCGCTTCCTGCGAGAACGGATCCTGAACCCCACGGCGAAGGAGATTGTGATCAAAGGCGTACCGGCGGACATCACGGCGGAGCTGATTAGGTGTCTCCTGGTGGTGTCGAAACTGGTCAAACGTGGAAGAAGCGCCTTCGCCAGCGGCTTCGGCTTTCATCGGACGCTGGACCTAGTGACAGGACTGGACACTGATCGCATTCGTTGACTTTTCATACCGCACGCTGATGACGAGTACCGTTGGCGATATTTCGTTGAAGACCCTTCGACGGGGAAGCGTTACCTACTTCATTTCCCATCGCTGACCTGTGATTTCTACGGAGGATAACACATGTCACGTTACCACGACCGCTACGTCTCTCCACGGCAGGAGAACTTCACCAACTGGAACATGTCTGTTAGAAAGGTCCATGAGATGAACGGTACAGACGACGACGCTTCTTACCCGCTGGTGTTTCTCATCCCACCTTTCGCTTTTCCGCGTATGCTCTATTCTGACGAATGTCTACCTCTCTCCCCCCGCAGCTGCATCCCTGAAAGTTACAGATCTGCTGAAGCGTATAACGAAAGACCCTGCTATCGTCCTCACCTCAACCGGAGTCATGCGGGAGGAGTGGGTCTGCGTTCAGACGGTGTGCGAGAAGGCGCAGGGGAACCGTTTTGAACAGGCTTCTGCTCACATTGCATCTGCGCGTCACAAAGAAGGGCTGAAGAAGGAGGGATCGGCAACGCATGCCAGTGTGTCCTCTCAGAAGTCGCTCGCCTTCAGGAAGGGGTACATAACCAAACCGACGAAGTAGTCTGCCTCCACCCACAACAGCATGGAAAGTCTCAACGGAACACCTCTCAGAGAAGAGCCTCTCAGTTACCCTGCCGGGAGTTGTGGAGAGCACTGACAACATGGGAAAGCAGACGTGCGAAGTTAACTCAAGAGCTGCATATGGCCGTAGTAGGCGGAGCAGTGGTTAGCGTCTCGTTAGCATCGGCTGTACTCTGTGGTATCCTGTTTGCAACAAACTCTTCTGACCGGTGGATGGAGTCACACCTGAGAACCATGACAAAGACACAAGCCCTGTGGATGCGGAGGGGCCAAAGGAAGTTGTTAAATGGATAAAAGGCAAGAACTCACCGTGGGCGCGCTCATTGTCAACGGATTGGGCAGCGCGGAGAAAAGGGATTGTCTGAAGGAGTGGCTGAACAAGTGCAAGGGAGTAATGGTACTCACAGACACGAGGCTACAAGAGGACCATAATTTCTGGACTCAGACAGGATCAGCGGCGCATGCAGTAGTACCGGTGGCGGAGACGGCCGGGGGGGTGGCGATCTTGAGTTTCAACAAAGAAGTGACTCTCAACGTGGTGTGGGCACATGAATCAGGGAGATTGTTGGCAGTCACAATAAGCTGGAGAGAGCTGACATGGCTGCTGGTGGTAGTGTACTTCCCTGCTCAAGCGACGACAAGGGGGGAGTTCTTCAGGGACAGTCTCACAGGTTTTATAAACTCATTACCGCAAACAGGGCACCTACTACTGACAGGAGACCTTAATGTGGTGGCAGATCCAATCATGGACAAGACTTCAAGGGGAGGATCAGAAACAGAGACTAAGAGAGTACTGGATATCTGCTCACGGTGGGATTTAAGAGACAGCTTCAGGATACTTTACCCGTCAAAACTGGAATACACCTTCTTGGCGAGATCAACGATGACGAGCTCCCGCATTGACCGCGCACTGGTGTCGGCATCGATGCTGCCCTTGGTAGCAGACGCGTATCACATGGCTGCCCCGGGTGGAGTCACGGACCACTGGTTCGGAATAACCACGGTACTAACAGCTGCAACGGGTGATGAGTGTGGTCCGGGATTATGGAGGATGCACGCTGAACAAGCAAGAAGCACGGGGCTCGGAAAACAAGCTGCAAGGTCAGTCCTAAAAGGGAGGCAAGAGACTGCAAGCTGCTCTTACAACGCTACAAGCCAGCCTAAAGGCGCACGCCAGGGAGGAGCGGAAAAGAATTGGGAGAACGATTACACACCTGGAGGACAGGGTGGCTGCGCTACGACAGGAATTTATGGCTGACACCCGGCTTGTGGATAAGTACGAAGAGCTGGTGAAGTTCAAGGCACAACTGAAAGCATACAGAGACAGCCAGAGGAAACGGAAGCAGACGATGGCGGGAGTGGGTGAAGAGTTAGAAGGAGAAATCGCGACAAAGGTCCTGATAGGGAGGATCAAGTCGAGAAGAACAAAAACTGTGATCAAGGAGGTCGTGTACGAAGGGCGAACCTTTGAGGGAGAAAGAGAGGTGCTGACGACGGCATCAGACTTCTTCTCCAAACTATTTCGGGAAAAAGGACAGACTGCGGAGGCGGAAGAGTGGGCAATGGATCCTAGGAAAGTGCTGAACAAGGAAGGGGCGGAGCGACTGGCAGCTCCGTGGTCGGAAGGGGAGGTTATGAAGGCGATCAAGGAACTCCCAAGAGGCAAAGCGCCAGGAGCGGATGGGTTGCCGAAGGAATTTCTGGAAGATAATTGGGACCTGCTGGGGGAGGTCGTGATGGACTTCATGCGGGAGTTTGAGGCAACCGCAACGATGCCGGAAAGTTTCTCGACCGCGGTGACGATCCTGCTTCACAAAAAAGGAGAGAAAACGGATCTGGGAAACTATCGTCCTATCACACTCCTGGGCGCGGTATACAAAGTCTTTGCGAAGCTGCTGGCGAACAGGATGAAAAAGGAGTTACCACAAGTCATCTCTGAAAATCAGTTTGGCTTCGTTCCGGGCAGGAGACTGGCGGACGCAGTAAAGGTCATAGCAGACACAGTGGACACGGCAATACTGGGGAGGGAAGACTGGTACCTGCTACTCGTCGACTTTCAAAAAGCATACGATTCAGTGTCACGTACCTTCCTTTTCCGCACACTGGAGCGCATGGGCTTCCCGAAAGCCTTCGTGGAATGGACCAAAGGCCTTCATGATCACGCGTCAACACAGCTTCTGGTCAACGGGTGGCTGGGAGAAAAGGTAGCGGTGGAGTCGGGAGTACGTCAAGGTTGCCCACTCGCGCCTTATCTGTTCATCTGTGCAGCAGAACCGCTGAGTCAGGAAGCGAAAAGGAGAAAACTCGGCTTGCGGAAAAGAGGGAAAGGGGAACTGGCTTACCTGGGGTACGCCAACGACACGACGCTCATTCTTCAGGGGAAAGAGCAGCTTGGGAAGGCGAGTAAACTGCTGGAGGATTTTAGTGTAAGGTCGGGGCTGAAGGTCAACCAAGGAAAATCGACTGTGATGCCGTTAGGGAAGAACAGGATGCTCCCGCCTCACACTGACTCGAGCTTCTGCTGGGCGGAGAGGGGGAAACCGGAAAGGCTCTTAGGCATTTGGATCACATCGGATGGCAACGCGGAACCAATATGGGATAAAGCACTGGTCCGGGTCAACACAATACTCCGAAACTGGGAGAAGCTTCACTTATCCACGACGGCGAGGGTGACAGTCTTGAACGCATATGTGATGCCGGTGGTTCTCTTCCAAGCGCAGATATATCAGCCGCCAAAGCAGATTTGGAAGAAGATCTCGAAGCTGTGCCACAACTTTATCTCGAAAGGCTGTGCGGATGAAGAAAGACACTTCATCCTCTGGAGTGAGTTCCTGGCGCACCTGGAGAGAAAGGAGGGAGGACTTGGGGTGATCAGTCCAACGGACAGAGTCAACGGACAAGCGTTATGGAACCTGGGTGCAGCCCTGTTGGAGGAGAACCCAATGAAACAGTGGCTGATGGAGAGGGCGGCGAATATGCCGCTGGGCTGGGCAACTCTGCTGGCACACAAAGCCATCCTGACAGAGTGGAAATGCGGCAGTGAACGCTGGAGGTCTCTGGTGCCGCTGATATGGGAGAAAAAACTGCCGAAGCTGGCGGAACCTGCGAACAGATGGGAGATGGAACAAGAACAGTTATGGCTCAGCAACTGGATTAAGTATAAAGGGGACAGCCCATTCGGAAGACAAAAGGGCTCAGAGTGCCTGAAAGGCCTGAAAGTGGGAGACTTACTTCAAGAGGAATACGACGGAGGATGGAAGGTGAAGGACCTCTGGACCCTGACCAAACAGACGGGTCGATCGTCCACTGCGAGGTGGGCACTCGCAGCGTGGAAGGCAGTACCGGAAACCTGGAAGCAGAAACTACTATCGAAGGTGTCGGCGGCGGAAATTACCAAGACTACCACACTGGTTAAGGTAGGGAGAGCGGAGACAGGGCATCAGAGCTACCTCCAAGTGGCGCTGACTGAGAAAGAGGAGCTGAGTTGCGAGAGGGTGGGAGTGAGTGATAAAGGAAGAATAATACATCTGGGTGCAGCAGCTCAGCCGCCGACGAGACTCAGCATGCTGACCCCGATGGTGACCAGCGGGGGCTATGTACTGGGGCAGGCGGGGGTCCCGCTAACACGACTACGGGCCTCTTTTCTATGTACTGAAGACAAGCCGACGGCGCAAAGGAAGCTGAGACACCTGCTCAAGAAGCCGTCACAACAACCTAAGCAGCAGAAGAAGTGGGAAGAGAGCTGGGGAGGGCCTATCAACTGGAAGAAAGCTATTGCAAAGAGGGACTCACTCGCAACCCCAGCCAAGGCAAGGGAGGTACTGCTGAGGCTGCACAGCCACAACCTGCAAGTGGACAGCAGGCTGGCCTTCTTTGGCTCGCGTGCATGCTGCCCGCACTGCAGTCAAGAGGAATCGGCCACACACTGCCTGCTGAGCTGCCCGGTCGTGAAGGGGATTAGTGGTGCACTGCAAGACTCACTCCGTCTGATAAACCCTTCAAGGGCGGTGGGAACACTGGAGGAGCTGCTTTTTGCAGAGGACAGCACGGCCTCTGGTTTTCTGGAGTCCACACTTATCGCGATAACTTTTAGACACATCTGGCTAGAAAGGTGTGATGCGGTCTTCAGGAAGGAAAGTTTTGAACCCAAGCGAGTAGCCCGGAAGATAGGGGCGAACTTCAGAAGACATGTGCGGATCTACAGTGAAGGAGCTGGGGGCAAAGGAGGGCAGAAGAGAAGTGGGGGTGGAGGTGGATGGACAAGACTGACAACTGGCGAGGCATCGGCCTTGAGTCGTATTTGCGATCAGGATGAAAAGCTGACGTGGAACAAGGCTTTCAGCTCGATATGGGAGAGACCCAGTGCCTTCTTCAAGCCGCCGTAGAGGGCTTACAGGGAGAACAGTATAGACCTACAGTGGTAGACCTGCTTTCTCCCCCCCCCTCAGTTACGACTGTGGATGTAATGCATTGTATAGTGCGTTATACCCAAAAAAAAAAAAAAAAAAAAAAACATTTCTTCTCGATTTCTCTCCCGCTTTTCACGTCTTAGCTTCCAACATCCGCCGTAGGCCGATTTCCACCGAAATCACTCTAGAATATCCCGCGCGCTCCATTCCGCCGCCATTCTGCATTTCACCGTAGGTTCCGTGGCTGGGCGAACCAACCCTAACAGCTGCACTGGCGGTGGATGGTCACGGGCCGTCGGATGCTCGTCGCCGATCAACGGAAAAAATCAACGGCCCGTTAAATTACTCGTCCGTGAGCGGACACGTCAAGGCATAGCCGGAAGACGAAGAATCTGACAACACGTACTCGTCCAGTCAATTCCCCGTCCCTCGCCCATCAACTCTTTCTTTCCCTCCTTTTCAATTTCTCCCCTTGCCTTGCCCTATCCCTCTCCCTCCCCCTCTAATATTCTCTCCCTCCCGCCCTCTCCCGCTCTCTCTGCCTTTCTGCCTCTCTATCTCTGTCATCGCCTCTCGCCAGGCGACTTAGACCCGGTCTACATAGTCCGCCTTAAAGACCCACCCGTCGCCGCATATTCCGGCGGAATCGGCGGGTACCCGACCACCGCGCCCGCCACCACCGCCGCGAACGCGCTCGGAAACCTAGCGAAATCGGCGAAGAACGCCGCAAAGCAGTTTTGGAAAAGACGGGCGAAGCTGAACGTGCGCGCGCCGAGCGTGAAGGCGTTTGTGAAGTTTCTGAAGAACCAGCAGAAGAAGATCGCGCAGGACGCGGGCGTCGCCGCTAACAAGCTCATCCACAGGTGCGGCACGCCCCTATGGCATGGTGAGACATGGTTCCATCCACCCATCCACACATCACCCACATCCGCTCAGCCACACATGCAATTTCTTTCCCACCTTCCGTCACGCTCTCTATCTCTTTCTCCCTCCCTCTCTCTCTCTCCCCCTGTCAGCTACACGCACGTGGAGAACGGGTTCGCGGCGGTGCTCTCGCCGAAGCAGGTCCGCGGTCTACAGAACCACCCGGACGTGGCGGCCGTCACGCAGAGCGTGCGCCTGGCGCCCTCCACCACGCACTCCCCGCAGTTCCTGCGCCTTCCGCAGACTCTCTGGAAGTCCGCGGGCGGGGAGGCATCTGCGGGGGAGGACGTGGTGATCGGCGTGGTCGACACGGGGATCTGGCCCGAGCACGCGTCGTTCGCCAACACGGTGTGTGTGACGTCTGGCGCCACGTTGTGAGTGAGTCGAGTCCGGTGAAAGATGCGGCACAGGAGGAACGTGCTGACAGGGTCCGCTCATTTTGTAAACATGGTGATTCTGGCCTGGGAACTTGAGGTGTCGCAGTCTCCACGCGCGCTTACTGCTAGCTTTCCAACTTCATCACCCTTCACCCTTCACTCGTATTCCCTCGCGCTAAGCCAGTCTCTATCCCCGATGCGCACCCTGAAATTACCCCAAACCGCCCTCCCTCTCCCCGCTCCCGTGCATCCCCGTCCACGCAACCGCAACCAGGCCGCAAACCCGTACGGCGACCCTCCGAAGACGTTCACGGGGGAGTGCGAGCCGACGCCCGACTTCCCCCGGACGAAGTGCAATGGCAAGCTGGTGGGCGCGCGCTATTTCAATGCCGCCTTCTACAAGCAAACCAAGGGAAAGATTGACACCACCGAGGATTACTCGTCTGCCCGCGATTCGAACGGCCATGGCACGTGGTGCGCTAGGTACGTGCTTCGCTGCCCTGCTCCGTTCCCCACTCCCTTCACTCCATTCCCCGCCCTTCCCTTCGCCTTTCTACCTTTTCTTATCCCCTCCAACCTCTGTCTGCACCTTGCATCAATCAGTCCTGTCCATTTGTTTCCATCACATCCTTTCGTCCTTCCCCTAGTAACATAAGTTCGTCCACTTACCCTCAGATTCAGACCGCATCTGCCAAAGCCCATCCATTTTCCTCCTCTACCCCATTCCTTCCCCTCCCCTCCTCTTCCCCTTCCCCTCTCCCCCCCCCCAGTGCGGCGGCGGGCAACAAGGGAGTGCTCCTAGACGGCGACTTCACGATAAGCGGCATGGCGCCGCGTGCGCGTCTGGCAGCATACAAGGTCTTTTGGCGGAACAGCGACGGCGACTCGTGGGCCAACTCCGCAGACGTCAATGCAGCCATTGATTCCGCTGTGATGGACGGTGTGGATGTGATCAGCCTGTCGCTCGGAGGCGTGAACCCCACTGGAACTTACTTTGATGACATGGCATCCCTCAACGCACTCGCCGTATGTTGCAACCTTTCAACCTCACACGCCCACCTCTAACCTGCACGCTTTAAGCTGCAGTTGCCGAGCTGGCGAGTTCCAAGTTGCGTGCTGCAGGTTTCCTGTGTGCAGGATTTTTTCTGGCCGGTACTGGCAGGATAGAGTGGTTCAAAGGGTAGGGCATGGGCGTTAGGGAGTGGAAAAGAGGAACTGCGAGGTGTTGCAGATGTTCCGTGTCCTTCCCACAACCTCTCCCCTCTCCCCATCTCCCTTCCCCCTGGCCTGCCACCAGGCGGGCGTGGTGGTGGCATTTGCAGCGGGCAATGCGGGCAGTGTGCATCCGGCTAAGGGAGAGTACCGCCTGATTGACAACTTCGCACCGTGGTACCTCAACGTGGGAGCCAGGTAACACTCTCCCCTCTCCGCTCCCCCCTCTCCGCTTTTTGCTCTCCGTGGGAGCCAGGTACACTTTCTTTCTCCGCTCTTCCCTCTCTCCCATCTCCCCTCTCCCTTCATCCTTCTTCCATACTCCCTCCCCACCCACTTGAGCATCTGCAACCCAACCTGCCTCCCTCTCTCGTTCTTCTGTCGACCACTCAGCACCATGAGAGAGCCACTACACACGACTAACACCCAACACCACTCACCTTCCTCTCTCCAAATTCCTAATCCCCCCTCCCCTCACCCCTCTCCGTCATCTCCCCTTTCCTCCTCTTTCCCCCACCCCACTTACCCCCTTCCCTCCCCCTTCACCCCCCCATCAGCACCATAAGCATCTACACAGACATGTTAGCCAATGCGGTAGTCTCCCCTGACAGTGGCAGCAGTGGTGCTGCTGGTGCTACTACTGGTGCTGGTGCTGGTGCTAGTGCTACTACTGGTGCTGGTGCTGGTGCTAGTGCTACTACTGGTGCTGGTGCTGGTGGTGCTGGTGCTGGTGCTAGTGCTACTACTGGTGCTGGTGCTAGTGCTGGTGCTGGTGCTGGTGCTGGTGGTGGCGCTGATGCTGCTGGTGCTGGTGCTGCTCATGGTGATCGTGTTCTTGATGGTGCTGGGCCCCTTGCTGATGGTGCCACCACCGAGTCAGTCTCTTCCAAGGAAACCAAAGACATAACGTACGGCCCCTCCCACTTTCCACTCCCCTCCCCCTTTTCACTCCCCTCCCCCTGTGCCCCTACTTATTTTCCTCATCCCCATTTCCCCTTGTTAACCCGATGTGCCATTCCCTCCCCATTCCCATACGGCCTTGCTCCCCCTCCTTCAACCCTTGTGCGTGGTCTTCCCTTTCTCGCCCCTGCTCCTACCGTCGTACCTTCTTAGAAAGCCTAGCCCAGTAACCCCCCTGCCAAATTCTCCTCCTCCTCATCTTACCTCTCTGCATTAATTTTCCACCATTTCCTCACCCCTCCAACTCTCATGTAATCCTCTCCCCCCTTCTCCCTTGTCCCCACCACCCTATTCCTCTCTCTTCCTCTCCTTCCTCAATCCCATGCCCTTCGTCTCCCTCTCCCCTCGTCTCAGCTTCTCCGAGTCCCCTAGCGATCCCAACGAGGCGCCTATTCTCGCGAATTTCTCCTCCACTGGTCCTCTAACCGACTTAACCGCACTTCCCCTGCCCGGACGGCCCACTAACGACATCCTTAAACCCGACATCATCGCTCCTGGCGTCAAGCTCTGGGGTGCCGATATCAGTCCCTCACTCACAGACCATAAAGACTATTTTAAGAGACACTCCGGGACGTCCATGGCCACAGCGCATGTTGCGGGAATCGCGGCGCTTATAATCCAGCAAAAGCCGATGTGGACTCCGGCCCAGGTCATGTCGGCGATAATGACGACGGCGAGCGTGCGAAACAACAAGGAGAAGCCGATTCGGATGACGGTGAAAGACCGGGGCAACCGCGATGCGAACCCGTGGGAGATTGGCGCAGGGCATGTGAACCCTGCGAGTATTCTTGACCCTGGCTTGACGTACGACTTGGATGACACGGAATTTAGAAACTTCCTCGCCGGGATTGACCCTAAGCAGGCGAAGAAGGAGTTCCGTTCGATGAGCGTGAAACCTATCCGCGCGTGCAATCTCAACCGTCCGACCATCAGTGTGTCGAAAGTTTCGAAGTCGGTGACGGTAACACGACAGGTTACCAGTGTCGCAAGCGAAACTTCGACCTACAATTGCGCGATGGAATCTCCACCTGGTGTGAGTGTGGCTGTGACCCCTCCGAGTTTCGCGATCCACCCAGAGGAAACGGTAACCTACACGGTTACATTCACAGTGAAGAAGAAAAATCGTAACTTTGTGTATGGCAGCATCACATGGGCAGATAATAGAGGGCACGTAGTGCGGACTCCTATAGCTATTAAACCCATCTTGAAATAATCAGGATGGTCGGAGAGTATGAGGAAGCTGTCTGCTAGCATGTGGTGTGAATGTTGGCTATGGTCCCTCTGCTTAATGCTGTCATTATAAACTATTTATCGTACCGTAACATTCTTGAAAGTACAGGAAAAAGGGGACTAGAGAGGAGGGGCTACACCTAGGACTCACAAGAAAATGGGACTCTCGTGGGACGGGCATCTAAGGGCGAGTCCGAAATACGTACTTGTGACTATACCGTACCCAACCATTCTAACCCTGAAACAACCGCTCTAGACCGTACCAAGCCTTTTCCAGCCGCGATCGGACGTACTCCCTGGACACGCCCTAAGCGAGAACATCTGTACGGTGTTTGGCGAAAGGAGAATTGTTTCTGTACAATGGCAATTTGACGGTTGCGATATCAGGGCCCAGTTCTCTTGCCCAGCGGCAAATGGAGGGCGGACAGCATAGCACAGCACGACTGGTGCGGCCGGGTGCTTCTGCGAAGCCCGAAAACCCCCACGTTGGTGCGATACAGCTTCCTGCGACCCTCCGCGCAACTAGAGGAGCTTCGTAAAAGTTTAGCTTTGCTGATCATTAAAATGTTTTCCGCGACGATAATTGGTGGGTTTGGAACAATACAGCCAACCAGTACCAGAAACATTTCTCGTCACCAATCGGGCATTGCCCTCCCCCGTAACGTGTTTCTTTCGGGGCATTTGTCCCTGCCCGGAACTATTTGTGCTGTCCCTGGGTCCCCGATTCGAGCGGGAACCAGTCTCGCACCAGTCTCGCACCCAGTTTGCCTGGGAGGAGGGGACAGCACAGCACTACTAGTTCCGTGTTCTTTTGCGCTAGGTGGGCCGCACAGCACAGCACAGCACTGGCCAGGTTCGGGAGAGAGTTCTAGGTCCCGAGCCTGATTCAAGGAATGCGCCCTAGGAAATGAATCTTCGAGGATCACCGGTAGAGGCCCTCACGAAGCATCATCTAGTGCTGTGCGGAGGGGTCCGCACCAGTAGTGCGGCAACAGAACTGGGCCCAGGGAAGGGGTGATCTCGAATACTCCTCAGTATGCAAGCGCAGACCACAACTCATCACCCTACTTCCCAGGTGTCTGCGCCCTATTTCTTGCTTTCTTGGGCATTTGTTCGCTCGTGCGGTTCGAAGCTGAGCAGGAAGGAAGGAAGGAAGAAAGAGGTGATGTCGAGCTGGAGTGCACGATTTTCCTGCGCTACAGCGGTCTGCCATCGTCATCATGATTCGACAGTCATGTTGGCTGCTGAGGCGTCACGTGAATACGAAGCTACCCCGTAACGGACGACGAGCTCTCGCACGCACTAGTACCGCGGCAGCAGAAACGACACTTGCTGCTCATCGACTTTTCCACACGACTCTCGTACGATGAACCACGTCATGCTTCTCATGTGGCCTTTCTGCCGTGGCAAGGCAAGTCTCCTCTCACTCGCTTCCCATCCCATGTGTCGACGTGAGCAGCGTCGCCCTCCACTGTCGCCCGTCGTCCGACAATGACCGCACTGGTCGTCGTCGTCGCCCGACGTCGGGCAGCGCTGAGTCATGGCGGCCCCGGCCAGTTCCACGCGCATCACACGCGAGGCCTCTTCTTTGTTGGCAAGAGCCAAGACCTTTCGTCGCCCATTGACTGCCGCAGTGAAGGCTGCCGTTCGCACAGTGTGCCCAAGTTAGCTCTAGCGGAAACAAACACGCCCAAAGTTGGTATTGTAAGCCTTTGCCAACACAGCGCTAGCGACGGCGAACGGCGATTGACAAGGTTGAGACCCACTTTTGGCGCCGTTTCGTGCTCCGCCACCTCTGTCGTCCCGCAAGAAAAGGGCTCATAGTAGTCGGACTAATAGTATATGGCAGGCGTTTCAGGTCCAAGTATCTCGAAACATGTTGACCTCCAAGTCGATCGAGTCGAGTCGAGTTTCAAGGCGCTGAAAATCACTCTAGTCGTTGTCAGATTTATATGACATAGTTGCTGTAGGCTATAGTGGGGTAGCACATATGGGGTACAGGGTTTCTAGGGTTGTATTTGTACCCAATCTTTCCTTAGTCATTTCATTCCTGCTTACTCATTTCACATGGTATAGAGCGGGTTCCCTGTGGAACTCTGCCTAGGGCCCACCGAAGCGCGCCCCGAGGCGCGCTCAACTTTTTTTTTTCCGCTCTCGAGCGACCCTCCGTGTCGCCTCCCTCCCACACGCGGCCCAGCCGCCCGCTAAGTCGCGGCCCCAGCCGCCCGCTACGATCGCGGCCCCAGCCGCCTGCTCGACGCGGCCCCCAGCCGCCTGCTCGACGCGGCCCCCCAGCCGCCTGCTCGACGCGGCCCTGCCGCCCGCTACGCCGCGACCGCCGCCCACTACGATCGCGGCCCCGGCCGCCTGCTACGACCGCGGCCCCAGCCGCCTGTTCGACCGCGGCCCCGCCGCCCGCTCCTGTCGCGGCCCCGGCTGCCTGCTCGCACGGCCTCGCCGCCCGCTACTACCGCGGCCCCGGCCGCCTGCTCGACCGCGGCCCCCCAGCCGCCTGTTCGACCGCGGCCCCGCTGCCCGCTACTGTCGCGGCCCCGGCCGCCTGCTAGCGCGGCCTCGCCGCCCTCTACTACCGCGGCCCCGGCCGCCTGCTTGCACGGCCCCGCCGCCTGCTACGACCGCGGCGCCAGCCGCCTGTTCGACCGCGGCCCCGCCGCCTACTACCGTAGCGGCCCCGGCCGTCTTCTCGCGCGACCCCGCTGCCCACCTACTACCGCGGCCCCAGCCGCCTGCTCGCACGGCCCCGCCGCCTGCTACGACCGCGGCCTCCCAGCCCACTAGGCTGCGGCCGCCGCCTGCTCAACCGCGGCTTCGCCGCCCACTACGCATCGGCCCCGCCGTCCACCTGTAGCGACTGTGCGGGCGGACCTCTGAGCAGCTGTGCCGCCGAGCCGCCCGGGAGCCGAGCCGCCCTGCAGCCGAGCCGCCCGGGAGCCGAGCCGCCCTGCACCCGAGCCGCCCTGTCGCCGAGCCGCCCGGGAGCCGAGCCGCCCT